CCGTATCATTTGGAAAGGGCTGCTAAACGGAGATTTGTTGTTGAGGTAAAATCTTTCCTTCATCGATGCGGTAAACGGCTTCAAATGTAAGGCTGTAAAGCGTTTACATGAGCAGGCGTTACGAGTCGTAACCAACTTGAAGGTTTTTCAACGCTTTTAAAGATGATCATCGCAACCATCACCACTCTATTGTTGTTAGGTACTTATAAATAATGTATATGTTCGTTCACTGTATGCTCTAAAAACTGTTGTTCCTTCATAACTATCATGCGAGTTGTACGTTAAGCGATTCTTTCATTTCGTTGATTCCTGAGAGTCAACTGACAATGTTCCGGTAAACTTTGGTGGTGTCAGCGCTTTCGTCCTGTAAAACGTCCGGTTTTCCATTTTATACACCATAAGCAAAACATGACTGGTATAGCTAGCGTAAGCTGTTCATGTCGTGACAATGGGTGCATTTGATCCCACGAATGAAAGGTAAATTTGTTGTTAAAACATGATTTATATCACTTTATTGACTACTTTTGTGAATGCCTACAAACGACAGTAAAGCAAACTCCAGTTGTATATTTATATCGGTATATTAATAGGGTAAAGCAGATTGTAGTTTCGTAAAGTGTGGCTTATACTGAAAAGATGGTCTTCTCGTCGAAAACGCGTTTCGTTCTTTTGGATAGGAATATGTTTATAATTGACTGTTTTTGCTCAAATTTTCTGGTTCTAGTGACTATCCACCAATGACGTTATTTTACTGGAGACTGGCCGGAATCAACTATCTGAAATTTTCTGAGATCGCCGCTCGAGCTGTTCGTAGCTGTCTCAAGGCCTCTACTAGAAGTGAAGTGCGACATGCTATCGGATCGAAAGTGAAGATTACTCCCTGGAAAGATGGTAAAGCGATTAAGGCGGACTCCGTTAAATGACGTTTCTTTCATTTGAATGAATGGTGTTTGTAGCTAGCTGTCAAATAATGTTATTCATAATTTCATGTAGCCAGTGAATGTTTTTTGCCTTTTATTTTACTTAGAATTCAAAAACATTGTTGTATAATAAATTTAAATAACTATTATTTACCGCTTTTAGTGTGTCAGTATGAGCAGCAGATATAATTATTGTTTCGAGTATGTGATGCTTCTTACGTCAGAAAAGGCTCTGTGATAACGACTTCACCTGTGGGAGCTTACAGTCAGAAATTGGAGTATATTATCACTCTGTGGAAAAGAGCAGGAGCTAGTTGATGATGTCGTACCAACCCGAAATAGTTGGACTCTCGTGAATAAAGCGCCAAGATTCATTAATGCTCAGCCTTTGCGGATGGAAGCTATTTTACTCAGGTGTCGACATTACGACGCCTGCTCAAGTTGGTGTTCTGGTAGAATCCAGTCTGGCGCAGAATCACTGAATGGAAGTAAGTCGGTTATCGTTTGACTTACGACGCTCTGTAACGGATACTCGCGCAGAGCTGTCAACCGATCATCAACCTTGTTGTTAGCACGCTGCGCTGTAACAAATGGAGCACCATGCGAAGATCTGGTGGTGGAAGCAACCAAGGCACCAAATGTTAAATTCTCTTCGGCTGATACGAATAGCGCAACTTGCAAACAACATCGTACAACGGTCTGAACAGATTCCGGTGAGGACCGTTGAAGTGGTCGAGAGGTAAACTGGCAGTTAAAGAGAAGGCTGTATTTAAGAAGTTGTTTCGAAGCAAATGGCTTTCAGTTCGTGTTTAGAAACGTCCTTCGCTGCAGCGAAAGCAGTGGCGAAATCCATGGCTGATTCCAACGAGAAGTTCGGTCATGTGATCGATTTTTCAGATGGCAATCATGGTACTCTAGCAGACCATTCGCAGGCTTCCATGTGAAACAAGCTGTATAGTACGAGTCTTGAATGACAAGTCTGGAAAAATTATTACTGAGGATAAGGAAATCCTTCGATGATGGAGAGTACTTTGAGGAACTCCTTAACCCCAAGCACCCGTAGGAAGACACGTCTGTTCCCTTCTTCAACAGCAGGGAAAGGATAATACTATCTTTGTAGATGAAATTGCACAAGCTGTGAAAAGCTCAAAAATGGGAAGGCTACTGGAATTGATGTAATCCGCCCTGAAATTCTCAAGGCATTAGACTTACACGTGTCTGTCAAACTGCAGTAGCTACGGAGAAGACACCAGCGAACTGGAGATCGCGGGCTGTACCCTCTCTTTAAGACGGGAAACCAGACGAAGTGCTCTAATCATCGCGGCATTGCCATATTGAGCCTCCCGGGAAACATCTAACCAAAGGTGATGGAAAGGAGGTTTAGCGGAATAACTGACTCAATGATACCAGATCAGCAGTGTGGCTTCCATCGCAGTCGAAGCACCTCTGACCATATATTCGCCCTATGCCAGATTATCGAGAAATCGTGGGTGTTCGACTATCCGGCATATATGTGCCTTGTTGACCAGAGAAAGCCTATAATCGGATCCCGCGTTACGGTCTATAGGCATGCCTGGGAACATATGGGATTGAAGGCCAGTTCCTGCGGGCCTTCCAATCACTATATGCTGAGTGCAGATACTGAGTCAGAGTAAATGGCGTTAGAGTCGAGACCTCCTTTGAGCGTTGGCACTGGTCTCCGCTATGTCTGTCTTATGTCTGCTCCCCGTGTTGTACATGGTCAAGTAGGCGCGCATAGGCGATGAGTATATAGGTGTGGATGCTGAAACATGAAGATTGCTGCTTGCAGACGATTCAATTATATTGGAATTTTCTGAAACTGAGCTATAGCGCCATCTGGAGAGTTTCGCAGCCGAGTGCGACATTGCCGATATACGTGTAACCGTATCTGAAACAAAAGGCCTAGTGCTTTCTCGTTCTCCTGCCCGTTGCTCTCTTCAGTTTAATGGAGAGGCGGTAGGGCAAATGGTGAAGTTCAAGTACTTAGTCACCTGCTTACTGGTGATTGAAAATTGGACGGCGAGATCGACAGGTGGATTGCAGCAGCTAGTGAGTTTCTGCGTGAACTAGCCTGAACCGTCGTAATTAACAGTGCTGAGTCTGGAAACTAAGTCAGGTCGATCTTCATCCCTATGCTTACCTATGGTCATGAGTCATTGACCATGAGTGAGAAAGCTTTCTTTCCCATCGGATTGG